GAGTGCCATTCGATCCGGGAGAGGTCTGGACCAGGCTGCGGGGGCATGACTCACAGAATAAATGTGCCTGGTGCCCCTGGACTCTGACACTATGTGCCTTCTAAAGAGTCAAGTTTTATTTAAAATGACAAATTTAAATTAAAAGTTCACTTTGGTTACATGAAAAATCAGTAATGTTCTCTGCATCCTTCATAGAAAAATACAAGTATGAGAAATTCATGAAGATGCCAAATGTGCCCAGATGGGAGATCTGTGGCTAAAATACACAGACGATAATGCAAACGTCTTACACTCAGAGCTAAAAGAAAGACTTAATAGATAAATTAGAATTCAAAAATCTAATTAGTACTTTCTGGAAACAATATACACGTCTCTCTTACTTTCCTGGGGCCTATTTTGTGTCTGGCCATTTAAAAAAGGAAAGGGGGAATGTGTCATTCCAGTCTTAGGCATAGAGTTGATATGTAAAACAAGAGTGACACCTTTACAGCAGATAAATACTGCTGTGACATCCTACAGAAAGTACCCATCCTGAACTCTACAAAGGCAGATTGTGTTAAGCAACCTTTACCAACACTGACAACGTGTGCAAAGATTTTGACATTCATTACGGGCCCTGGCTAAGATCTGTATGATTGGTTCAAACACATTCAAAATCACCGCCTCCAATCTGCCCATGGCTGCACGTGACATTCGCTCTGTGGATTTCAATGCGGCCCTAGATTTTGACAACCAAGTAATTTTGGTTAGGAGAAAGGGAAAAATTGGGTTGTGGAAGTACTTAGAACCTACAAATTGGTTGAAAATTAGATTTACGAGAGCCTGGAGCTTGAAAACTATCTGAACTTCACAAAAGGTCCAGGTAAGTGGTAGTTCATTTTAGATGAGAACTGATAGCCACAATAAACAAATGTGTTGGGGTGAGGCGGAGAGGGTGAAGGAAGGGAGAAACGGTGCTGAGCACTGAGCCAACCCTTAATGGAGAACAATCACGTTTTTTAGTGATGAGATTTCTTTCAGATAGGCTTAAACTTTTCACTTTATAGAAGCAAACTGGCAAACATTTCGCTCGAAGAAAATTTATATTATCCATATCGGTTAACTCTACTTGTATTTATTTCTGATTTCTTAATTCATCGCTTCAACGAATGTTTATGCACCAGGCACTTGCTAGACTCTGGAGACACGATGTTGATCAGCCCCCTGCTTCATGGAATTTAAATTATGAGAGCAGCTGACAATAAGCAAATTGTCACATAGGTAAACGGTAGCGTTATACGCTCATTAGATGCTCTAAAGGAAAGCTACAGAATGCCTTGGGGCACGGCAGTCTCCTGAGCAGGCCCAGTGGATGCTTTTCCAAGGAGTGATGGATGAGTGGAGCCTGGAATACAGCAGGATTTAACAAGGGACAGGTCAAACTCAACACCACTCACTCGCAGCACTGAAATCTTGGTGAGATTCAACACTCAAGGGTTACAGCATCTCCCTGAACAGTTAGTTCAGGACTCACGGAACCCTGGTATTGAGGCTGATTTCTGGGAAAGAATTCAGGCGCTGGTGAGTCTTAAGGAAGCAGGAGCGCAAAGACCACAGATCTCTGCTAAAACGTGGCAAAGTTCTAGAGAAACAGAAAGACCGTATTGGCAGTGGATGGTATCATGACCATCCCTGAAGATGAAGCATATACTTCTCTAATCTCCGGCGGTGAAAATGTTGACAAAATCTGGTCTGAATCTCTGTGAATAACTGAGAGCCTCTGAAAGGCAAGAATTTCAAAGATCCTTATTATTTCAGATCTACTTCCAGAATACATTAGTTTCACTTTTAGTTTCAATGCACAGCATGGCGAACATCTGCTGAATATACCTGCTTGTCTCTGTCTCTCAAATGTGCCCGCTAAGTCTGAACAAGACTCTCTGGTTACTTTCCAGGCCCTCATTCAAAGGCAAACGTAATAATCAGGATAAAGAATCAAGTCTAAAATTAGGCCAAATCAGAGACCATATTAACTCTATCAATCTAAGCAGACAGTTGATATGGTTGGTTTTGTTTTGTTTTGTCTTTGGAAAAACATATTTAGGGAAACACTGAGGAAAATAGAGAGGAATTAGAAGGAAAGAAAAAAACATTTACAGCTAGAGGGGATTTTAGAGACAAGCTCTTCCTGGCCTTTAAAGAGAGGAGAAGTGCCACCCTGGTAGCTGGGGGCTGGGTTGCACTGAGAATACAGGGCTTCTGCCTCCCCCCCCCCCCCCCCCCCCGCCCAATCCCACTCTCCAGTTACCAACAGGCCCTCCAGCCAGGCCTCCCCAGTAGCCTCCCTCATCTCATGCACACGAACATATTAACTGCCCCTACTTAGACCGGCTCTACGGTGAGTAGACTGCTTTTAATTCTCCACAGAGAACAATTTGGCCAGGATATTTCAGCACCATTTAATAAACCGTCCAGACACTTCTCAGTATTCTAAACATACCCTCGTGACTTGACTTCGAGACGGTACAAAATCGCTGCTCATAAGTGAACTGGCAAAGCTGGCCTTATGGATGACATACGCAGATCTGTTTTATTTTTGTGGCATTTTACATAAATATTTTATAACGAATTATTAAACATCAGAATGTTTACCGGCCAGCTTTATCTGGCTAACATGACATTAGGGAAAATACGGATTTTTGCTCTGTCGTATCATGTACATAAAAACGACGCTAATTGTGACTATACTGGACCCAGGACAGCTTCTCATCCTAATGAAAAGGCACAAATGCTAATTACAAATCACTTTAGTTATTAAAAGCAGAACTCTGTATACACTCGAGGAGGCATTTTCTCCAAATTCTGTATTTTGGGCAAACCCCCTGAAAAACAAGTAATGTTCACCAATATTTTAAAAGCAAGTCAAACCTTAGATCACACCAAGTTTTTAATAAGATTTCAAAAGAACTAAGATCAATTAAAATTAGCTAGGCTAGGGGCGCCTGGGTGGCTTAGTCGGTTAAGCGTCCGACTTTGGCTTAGGTCATGATCTCGCGGTTCGTGGGTTCGAGCCCCGCGTTGGGCTCCTGACTGCCAGCTCGGAGCCTGGAGCCTATTTCAGAGTCTGTGTCTCCCTCTCTCTCTGACCCTCCCCTGCTCACGCTGTCTCTCTCTCTCTCTCTCTCTCCTAGAAATAAGTAAAAATATAAAAAAAAAAAAATTAGCTAGGCTAACCAGGGATGTGCATTCTCTGAGTGCTATTAGGCATGAATCTCAGGAGTTAAAGTCAATTGAGTCAATATAGCAGGAATTTTTATTTCAGTTCTAATTCACAGAATATCCTGCATGAATAAAATGGACTTGATAATGGTTATTAACTCGCTTGCAAAAGAAAACACAAAAAAAGCACAGGTAAAGACCATCTAGTAGCAAATTTTAAAGGCTGTAATCATTCATAATATAAATGTATCATACTGTTATGACTGCAGCCATTGTTTAAATAATGTATGTGGTCCTCTAAGCCTTTGCACGTTTAAAAAATAAATTTGTAGATCAAAATGGATTTGCCTCTGGAGGCCCAGAAATGATTGGAAAATCATGACAGAACTACACAATGAAAACTCCAATATGTTGTACTATATGCGTGTGTTTGTGTATGCTTTTACTCTATTCCAATTTATCACACTGAAGGGCAGAGTGGAAGCTTTCACAAATCAGCTTTCAGTTAAACAAACAAAATCCCCCAAAACAAACAACCTGCCCCCCCCACATAACCTATTCTGATTAATATACACAGCTAAGACATCCTTAAACATGTAATATGGGAATATTTTGCAAGACGTTTTCAGGATTGAGAATTCAATATACCAGCTTGTCTCAGAAAAAGAAAACTGAACATCTCCCTCATCTCTGAAAGTGCAGCAACAAGGTAAAGGAGAGATTTCAAATTCAAGTGAATAGTATCTCAAAAGATGTTTTTATCAGTTTTTCAGTAAACAAAAAGTCACATGCTAACAACTCTTAAGGGGTTTTGCTCACTTATCATTACTCAAGATTCTCACACTTACATTTTTCATGTGCTTGGCAAATTTCCAAACCAAAGGATTATGAAAACTACTAGAACTTAGATCCAAAGTTTGTTGTGTTTAAAAGTAGTCAGTTTTGTTGTTTGTCTGTTTTTTGGTTGTTACTGTTTGTTTGTTTACATGGGGGCTCTAAGATTTAGGTCTCCTGCATTTCAGCAATAAATGCTGGACACCAGTTTCCGAATTTAGCTCCTCCTTGAAAAAAGTATTACAGTCAGTCCAGGGGAGAAGGCATTTTCTGTTGGAAAAAGGAAACCGCATGCCCCAGCTGTCTACCACTACTGGTGGTTTTCTAGAAGTAAAGAGGTAATTGAACAGTCTAAACAATCATGTGTAGCCATGTTTGTGGGTTGGAGATCGGTTACACCTTACAAAGTGTTCTTACTTAAGTTTTCAAGAAATTTAAAAAGTGAAAAGATTTTGCACTAAGTAGGGACAGAGCTCTCTGCTACATATTGTAATCTGACACTAGGCTGAACTTGACTAAGTTTAAGTAACCCAAGAGGAACTGTTTCCTGCTTTCTGTTAGAACAGTCTACAATGACCTGTAGTAACACTGCGAGGCAGAGGTTACTATCGGGCATTAGATGCTGCTATCAGTAAGTCAGTTGGGTTTCTAATTTTTTTGCATCCCCCACCCCCCATCCTGTGGCACCGATCCCAAGTATTAGTAAGAATTCAACCCTGCTCCCTCCTTGTTTATAAAGACAAGAAAAACCTCAGGAAGAGCTAGAAAACATACCCCAGGCCAACTAGGCAGCTCCCTGTTCACCCCGACAAAAGGGCTGTGCCATGGAAAAAAACTTCTCGGTTAAGAACCAACTTGCTCTGCAGCAGACACATTTGCCTGTGAACATCTCTGGGGAGGCGCAAGGGCCCTTTCTACATGGAATCAAAGGTCCCATTTGACACTGGTTTGGTTCAGCATCACCTTACCTAGTCTGCTCCTGTAAGATGAGATGAGGCTCCACGAAGAACTTGACTCTCAGTTTGAGCCGATAAGGGGCTAGCCCGTCCATCTGCTGGGAGATCCGATTTCTCAGATTTAGCCATAAACTTTCACCTTTGCTACCCGTAAACTGCAGTCCAAAATAATCCACTTCTATAATTCCCAGCCGCCTGCACACCTAAAACAAAAATGAATGCAGCATGGGTGAGCAGACAGTCCATGTTAAGTCAAAGCAAAACCCAAGGAATCCATCCGAGGTGAAGACTCCTGCCTCCTTTTTACAAAGTTCAATGAAGGTGTTAACAATTCCGGCCTTGAGCTGTAGCCACAAAGTTCTAAGCTTCCAGGGTGGCTACGCCCATAGAGAGGCTTGTGCTTCCGTTAACTCGGAGGACACGGTCTACTGCAGTGGAGAAAAAGGAGTCCTTAAAACTTGCCTCCCAGAAAGGCTGAGGAAGAGAATCTACGGGGTATTTTCCCTCTTGTTCCACTCACTGGAATTCCCTCCACCAGCACAAGCTGCACAGCCGATTTGGCAGATTATCTGGACAATTTTAACCATCTGGACTCCAAAAAAACAAACACACTGAGGAAACACGCCACAAGTGTCAGTGAAGCTCGCCGCAAGAGGTTTTCCAAACATCTCAGGTGGGGGGCGGGGGGACAGGGGGCGCGGGTTTAAGGGCATGCCGTTCCAGGGGAGACCACATTTGCTGCCTGTCATACCCAGATGCGCGGTTTGGAACCATTCTTCTTTACTCCTTAGGAAACGCGAGCTTTATAGACAACGGAGGGGCGGATGAGCAAAAACCCAGGGTCCTCTGGAGCCCCGCAAACCCGCAGGTGCAGGTCAATGGTCCATTTCAGAAGCAGTAAGAGACAAGGGCCGGGCTTGTCTGCCAAGCAACCCCAGGGACCTGCGACGGCCAGCAGCCACCTCCTCCCGGGATTCAGGTGGCGCCGCCAGGCCCCGCGGGGACCCGAAAGGTGGCACCGTGCACACACCTGCGGCAAGTGTGTTGGGCCGCCTTCTTCCGGCAAAGTGCGGGGCTGGGCTGGGGGGGCAGGGTGGGAGCCCCCCCCGCTCCCCGCGTGCGGGAACCGAGTGCCCCACGGCCGCGGGGAGGAGGGGGCGCGGGCCGGGCGCCCTGGGGTGCGCTCCACCCCCCCCATACCCCCTCCCGTTCGCCGCCGCAGCGCCGCCCGCCCCCTGGCAGGCGGCGCGCCCCAGAGCCCGGCGCCGCCGCGAGGCCCCTGCGCCTCGGGGAACCGGCGGGGGCCCCCGCTGGCCCCTGGTCGTCACCTGGTTGAGGCAGTCCTCGCCGTTGGCTTTCGCCTCCACCTCCACCTCCATCAGCACCGCGTCCGGCCTCGTCACATAGCACAGCATGGCTGGGGCCGCCGCTGCCGCCACAGCCGCCTCCTCTTTGGTGTGCGTGGGGCTGCCGCCTCGCCACCGCGCAGACCCAGCCCCGGGCTCGGCGAGGCTGGCCCTCCGGAGGCTGCAGCGCCGCAGACCCGTGCTCCGCGCCCCGCGGCCCCCGCGCCCTCCCCGCCACCCCCTGGCCAGCCCGCCCGCCCGCCAGCCGGCTGCCCGGGTCTCCGCGGCGGCGCCGCACTCCAGCAGCCCGACTGCCTGCGGCGCTCCAGGGACCCCTCAGATATACTGGCCCCGCCCCCTCCGGCTGGGGCTCCCGCCAATCACGGCGGCCCCGCCCCTCCTCCTCCGCCCCGCCGGCCAATAGCGGCGTCCGCTCGGCCGCGGCCCGACCTGCCTGCGCCGGCCGAGTTTCCCCGCGCCGCCCGCGGAGGCGGCGGCTTGCGGACGCCCGGGGCTTGCGGCGGGAGGCCGGCCCGGGACGCACCCGCCGCCTCTGCCCGCTGGGCGCCGCTGCTCCGAGCGGGCGGGCGACCGCCGGGCGCGCGGCGGCGGCGGCGCCCCTCTTTCGGGCTGGAATTGACGGCGACGCAGCCCCTCCGAGCTCGTCGCCGGTTTTCAGAAGCCTTGGGTCGATCCTGGAAGGCGTGTCGGGAGGCGAACGTCTAAAGGAAAGCGGGCGCCCCCGAAGCCGAAAGCGACCCGTCTTCCCCGCGGGTTGTTGGAAGGCGGAATGGTTGCGCCTCCTTTCAGACCTCGTCAGTGGAAAAACAAAACCCGAGTGTAAAAGTTTTTGCAGTTGACCAGTGAGCCAGGGAACTTGATCTAGTGCTTCCGTATAAATCCTCCCTGGAGGCTTCTGTTTACTGGTTGTGCTCAATCAAAACACCGTATAGGGCTCTCAGGCCCTCGCTCGGGGTAGCGCATCTTATCTCGCGTGTTCTTCATTCATTAAACGTTAAGGGAGCGATTGCTGTGCTGCCAGCCCTTCTCTCAGGCACCCAGATGTTATCCCCACCTTGAAGGTTAGGGACTTATCTCAGAACCGAACAGGTGGTATAACCTCAGTACGAGCTATTAATAATTAAAGGCCCACAGCTCTTCACTCGCTTGTTCCTCTTTGCCAATACATTAATTAGGTAACCTACCTCTTTGGTTTCTTTATAGGAGAAATGAGAAGACGGGGTTTCGGCCTTGGACCCTTGAAAAACCTACTTTATCTCTCTGAAGTTCAGTGTTTTCAACAGTAAAATAGAACCCCCGAAATCTGCTCTGCCCTCCCCTGCCCAGAATTGCTGTGAAGAGCAGGAGAGACATGTTCAGGAAAGTGTTTGAATGACTCTGTATTTGCAGGGAGGTCTATAATGTCAGGGGTTATTGCCTGCCAATGGCTTCTGTCCTTACCCCTTTTCCTGAGTCTCGATCATCTCTGTCCCAGTGGGCTTAATTGCTCAAGAAATGGGAAGGGTATCATAGCAGAAGGCTACAGGGAAGGATCCTATCACAGTCTTTGACTAAAGCCGACTATGGATAATAGCGTAGGGAGTTAAAGTCCTTCCCCCCAGTACCCCCAAAGCTGCAGGCAGACATGTGTACGGACACAGCTTTCTTTGTGTCTTACGAATACACTTCACTGTACTGTGCTGTTGAAATATTCTCCTCTTGTATCAACTCCTGTTCCTCGTTTCCTTAATTCCAGCTTACTGATTGGAGAATTTATAGGAGACACAATATTTGGAACGTTGTTATCTAATAATCTATGCTTAATTACTAGCAACTTTAGGACAGGAAGGAGAGTGAGGGCCAAGATGGGATCCCGTGTATTGGTTAATAGCTTTGTTTATGAGCAATTAAACTGCCAACCCAAAGCCAGCTAACCAAAAGTTGGCTAACTTAAGCAAAGGGCAATCAAGTACACCCATTTTGGAAGCTCCCAAAATCAATGGGGACAAGGTACAGAAATGGATAGAAAGGGAGAAATAGTGGTTGACCAAAACCAAAAGTAAACAACAACAACAACAACAGACAAACAAAACCCAAGCAAGCAGAAGCCAAGGCCAAATACTTGTTTTGTTGAGCAACTAGTTTAAAAATAACTTATATTTTTGGTTTGGGCAGGGATGTATCTAATCCAAACCCAGCTTATGTCCTTCAATGGATGGTTGATAAAGACTCCAATTGTTTTTGAAGTTAAGAATCACCAGGAGGGTGGGGCTTGGGTGAAATAGATAAAGGGGATTAAGAGCAGTTGTTGTGAGGAGCACTGGGTAATGTGTAGAATTGTTGAGTCACTATATTGTACTCTTGAAACAAATAGAACACTATGCTAATTATACTTCCATAATAATAATTTTTAAAAAAGAATCACCTGGTAAGACTGAAGAGGAGATAGATTTCTTAAAACAAAACAAAGCCTAAAACATGAAAATGTACTTGAGGAGGTGGAAGAAATCCTGATGACTGAGAAGAAAAATAATATGGTCTTTTGCGAGTATGTACAGAAAATGTGAGACCATAATTTTCTCCTCTCTCTCTTTCTCCCTCCCTCCTTCTCTTTTCTCTCTCTCTGGTCCCTCTCTTCCTTTCCTAATTTCATCCTAGAGTAGAGACAGGGAGAGACTGGTTAGCTAGGGAATGAGAAGGCTGAAATTTGCTGGTGACTGGGTGGGAAAGCACATTATGTTCAAAGACCTGGTTAGGGAATAGAAAGCCTACAGAATTACTTCCTAGGAGGATCCCGCCATCTGGTAATGCTACTAAACGTCTGGAGCCCGTTTGAAGCCCCAGCTGGGTCTAACTGCAAAATAAGAGATGCTGAACACCTCGGCCCCGGGGGGCGGTAACTGTCGTGGGTGGTACAGTGACTGAAGCCATTCTGACTTAGCCAGAGAGGGGCTACCTCTTATCTGTGTCTGCTTTCTTTCGCCGGCAATTAGCTAGCACCTTATAAAGGATTAAAATTAACCTACCAAGTGAAAGGATCATCAGCATGAAGGTAGAATTTGAAAATAGAAGCTGTAAGTCAGCGGTAGAGTTGGCTTAGCCAGGGAAACCCTGGCTGTTCGAACTCACACAAGCACTCCACTTTTTCTGTCTCCTACACTAGGGCTCAAGCCTGAACTATAGATAGTTATTTGAAGGATGTGATGTGATGTGATAGTTGATTGGATGCAAAATTATTCTCCTGGTAGGGTGTGAAGTCTGATCTAGCCGGCTGGAAACGCATCTTTAATTATTTCTACCCCAACACTGCCCAGGCTGCTGCAGACACCCTCTGCTGGGTCAGAGGAAAGGCCCTTCTCCTTACCTCTCCCCCTTCATCTGTGGGAGCATCGAGGGAAGAACAACGAGTGGCTTCCTAAAAAGCTGCCTTTCTGCTTTCACACATTATTCAAGCTGATTATTCTCATAAGCGATGCTTCGTCAAGCACAAGTGGGTTAGAATGTGTTGAGTGAGCTGAAGTCTCTCTCATGTGAAATATTAGACTTGTAAAATCAGGAGTGGTTTAATTTGATCCTGGCCTCCCATCAAAGCAGGGCACCTCCTTTACAAAACTGCCTGTTCGTGTAGAGGCAAAAATGGAGAGAGAGAAGAGGCAATGCCCCGTATTACAAAATCTGGAACATATATATGGGTTTCGTCTTCGTTACCGTGCAGTTTAAATGATTTCATTTTAGTTGTGAGAGTAGTTCATGTTCATGGTAGACTACTCGGAAAAGACAGAATAGTAGAAGGAAAACAAAAGAATTGAGGTGCCTGTAACATTGTCAGGCATTTCCAGTTAGTATTGATATTTTACTTTCATACTTTGCGTGCCATGTGCACGCAATGTGTAAATCTTGACTGTGATATCATCAAATACTGCTCGTGAACTTCTGGATATATATCAAGAGAGCAAGAGACACATGGGGTGGGGAGTTCCCCTTCTAAAGCTAATATTATGATATTAGGAAAATCATAAACAGAAAGAAAAACCGTCGTGAAAAAAATTCCAACTATTAATGTGTCTCAGCTGTGTTTTTTCTCCCAAATACTCCTCCTTCCTCTATTTATTTTCCTTCTCACTGCTAGCATACCCTGAAATGTCACGTTTTGTGATAATGCATACTTCTTTGGCATGGACCATTTAGTTGAGAGATCCTCAGAGCTGGGAAATCATTTTCAACCCGGTACCTTTTGGGTAGCCACAAAAATGTTTTGTTTAATATTTTGATGTCTAGCTTTTATTTATGGGGATGGTCAATAATTAGGCATGTGCTTTTACAGTTGCTTCTCAAGTCTGGTGACATGCAGGTGCTGATCCACTCACAACAGGGTTACCATCCTTCTTGAAGGATGGCTTGAATGAGGCTGGGTGGATACTGGGGATGCCATTGAGAGCCAGGAAATGCGAAACACACCCAGTCAGCCCAAGGCTCAGACTCATAAAGCTATCCCAACTGGTGGTGTTCTAACCAGCTGATCTGTAATGACACGTCTCCTCTGGCCCTCATACCGTCTGGGCATGCCTTGCTGCAAAAGACAGAAGGGTCACCATGATGTATTGCGTGCATGGATGTGACACAGAACTTGGTGGGGGTGGCCATTCCCAAGATTCAGTGGCACATTTAGAGAGCACCAACTTTCCAGAGAAAAGGTGACGACTGTTAGAAATGCTATAGAAATTCCAGAAGAACATGAAAACGTCCAACAGCTGTTGGAGAAACCAACAATATTGGAAACAAGGTAATGAAAATGATGAGTCCTGTGGAAAGAGGCAACTTCTCACTGAACCTCAATTACACCAGCTCCTCCTCGCTCACTTATCGTTGTTGACATTTGCATTGGTTTATATCGCTTGATCTGCAGATCTCGCCCCCCCCCTCACCTTTCAGTTATTCAATATTTTGTTCTTGTGGTGTCCTCAGAGATGGTGATTATTTGAAAATGACTTGAAAACAGGTCTAATTCCTCCCCGGCAGCCCCTCAGTGCCTATAAGTAGCAAGCACACTCCAGCAATTGCTATCTTCTCTCTTCCGTGTTCAGAATTTCTGGGAGACCTGAACAGGAAGCCATGGCCGGCCAGGGGAGGGGAAGAATTCCTGTCTCTCCCACAAGGGATCTGGACCTCAAACCCTCTCCCTACGTTTCCCTCCACAACAGACGTTTCATTACAGCAGCTCAGAAACCCAGCA